TCTAAATCCCTAAGTTATACTACTGGCAGCTTCATCTTTTCACTTTGCTTTGGCTATGGATTGAAACTTTGAGTTTTATAAAATATCGACTAAATCTGCCCAATTTTAAGATTATTGCTTGATCATTTAATTTAATTCTAGTTTGTGAACTTTAAAGTTAATTTAAAATGCATCACTGCACGAGACCTGTGTGAATAGGTTAGTTAATTAATGAAATTGTTAATTTTTTAGAATATGAACTATGTCAAAATATGGTAACTTGCACACTCTTACATATATGCATGCATAGATATTGATTACTTTTTTTTTAAGGTCACTTATCTTACATTAATTTTGCTTTTTTATCACAGGAGAAGAAAGGAGTTTCATGAGTAGAAAAAATAGCACTGCTTGCTTGCCATTAACCAAAAGGAAATAATATTATTGAAAGTGAGAAATCAAAGTAAAATTATAAAAAGGTCGCTCCTAACTTTATTTTCATATTACACAGCTCCATTTGTATTTTTGAAAGAATTCTTCCTCCTTACAATATTTGCAAAATACCTTGTAAACCTCAATTAATTGTTTGGGAAATTTTCTCAAGTAATAATTGTCCAAGGCTTTAGGAAGAGATCCCCCTTGAGGAAATACAGCACGACCGATGAACCAAGTGTTCCTTATTAGCCACAACAAGTCAGCAACGGTGTCAAACTTATAACTACCATCGCCACCAACGCTATTAAGGAATGTAGTTTCAAATTTTCATCCCATTTTCCAACGAGAGTTGTTGCGGCAATGTTTTCTAATGCATTTAAGAATTCAGGGTCTTCCAATTTCAAAAGATGTTCACATGCATCTCGAAGAAATGAAAGCCTCTTGTTATAAGTCCAAAACAAAGGATGATCCAAGATCTCTTGTGCCGTTGGCCTACAAAATCAGGCAAGAAAAATAAAATGGTTTCAGTAATTATGTTTAAGATGCAATATGTATTAATATTAATAGAGATTAATAATTAATTAATTGTAAAAATTATTGAAACATATACCATTAATTACAAACCTGTAGCAGTAGTAGTACTAATTCTTAAAGTAGCTAGTAATTAATTAAATTACCTCAAATCTGGATTGTGATTCAAGAGATGGGAGATAAGATCCAAAGCTTCTGGCATGCTCTCTATGAAAGAGAGATACTTGCGATCACTCTTAATATTCATTACACAAAGTTCTTCTATCCATCGAGAAAATATACCATCACCAAAAGGGTGGCTACGTGCAGTGATGCGGTAATAGAGAATACAGCCTAGACTAAATATATTTCCCTTTTGTTGTCCATGCCAAAACTCCTTGGGTACCAAACGTGATGATTCGGTATCGGGTGCTTTTAAATCTATGTCAGGCGGCTGATGTTCGGGTGCTGGCCAACATGATCTTGAATAATCACGAGAAAGATGATAAAGCCCTGCAAATGTTTGCCAGAAAATTAATAAAGAAGTAAGTTAAAACATTATGAGAAGAAATTATACTACTCATAATGTTTTAAGTACTTAGTAGCTGGGGAATTGCATTAATTAATAACATGTTAATTAACCTGAAAAAGAAAAAGAAAAAGAAAAAAAAAATATATATATATACATACATATATGTATATAAAGAGAAATATACTTATATACAAATCTTACATATTACATTTATATAAAATCTCAATAATTCATTTTTTAATTTTTAATAGTTGAGATTTATCACATAATTTTAAGTGAAAAAATAATTATTTTTAATAAATGTTAATAAATCTAAACTATTAAAAATAAAGAGATGAATAATTAAAATTTTATATGAATGTAATATATATGTAAAATTTTTATATAATTAGATCTCTCCTATGTATATATATATATATTTATACACACATAGATCAAAAATCAAAACAAATTTAGATAACTTACAGTCATCCCCATCCACTCGCCTAAAACCCATGTCCGTTAGCTTTGCACATAGAGATAATTTGTTGTCCTTGACGTCCTTGAATATTAAAACATGGTGAGGCCTTAGATCATGATGAACGATTCCAAGCTGATGCAGATGGGCAAGCCTAGAAAGTATATCCCTGCATACATGAGTAATTAATTAATTAATTAATTAATTAATTAATTTATTTATTATTATTATATTAAATCAGAACAAAAGGAGCAGTGGATAATAAATTAAAATAAAATAAAATAAATTAAAATAAATTACTAATTAGTTACCTCATTGTAGTGATGGTAGTTCGAGGTCACTTACCTTGGACAGTCTGAACTATTCTCAACTGTCGCTCTGAGTTGTCACCTGAGAGTTGGTGAGCTCAATGGAGTTCAACCTTGTCCCCTCTAATCCTACTCTAGTAATTTCGTACCTACACAGATTTCTTGAGAAGGCTTCCTGCGATCATTGACACATATGATCCTAGTTGTCCACGAAGAACAACACGTGGACATGCCCTTTGAAGGCTATAAATACCTCCCGGGGTCCTCCCTAAAAGGTGATCAAATCGGACTCAAGCTTAGTTCTTGCTTCAGATTTGGTAGACCCGACTATTGCTCACTTAAGCATCAAAGTGTATATCCCGAGGACCCGCCTCTAAGCTTTACAGATCAACTGAAGTGAAGATTTGAGCTGGATAACACCTTGAAGCTCTTTGCATCAACACCTCACAAACAAAGTAAACCCGAGCAACAATGCATATTGACAGTGTTCATATTTCCCTTGAAAAATCCTTCTGTTTCTCTCCCACCAAATAATATAAATTGAGGGTGAAACTGACTTTTGTAAAAGAAATTTCTCTTCTGAAGCCATTCCTACAAGAGCATAAATACATGACCTTTCCTTTCAATTATAGAATCAAAAAAATAACCCTGGTCATAAACACAGTAAAAGGGTTGCCAAACAACCTAAAGTATGAAAACAGTCATTGAGTCCAAGGTAGCGAGAATCATAGTCGGTCTTTCTTAACACCCCATCCCCAATGTTAAAACATCCAAGCCTAGGGATTTTACCCTTTGTTTCCAAGAAAAGCCTGGTTAACTTACTAAGAACCACAAGAACAAGTTGATAAAAAAAAAAAAAAAAACCACATAAACATTCAACACATTAGACCAAAATTATCACAACCTAAGTTACAAAAAATATATATATATATTGTTATGAAAACCATGAAAAATTGAACTTCTATCTGATAAGGAGAACATGTATTCTTAGACATAGAGAAACCAAAAGCCTTCTCATAACACCTAACATGGGAAGAAAGTAAGGTAAGCAATAAAACAAAGCATAAGGTAGATATTTTGAAAGTACTATCTTTTATTTAGGAACAGTCTCAAACCACTCACAAAACAAATTGTAGAGTGTAGAGTTTCTAACCAAAAGCACAGTGACAGGACATAAAACTATTCCCTAAGCATAAGGTTCCATCTTAGAAAGTTTATTGTTAGCCAAGTGAACAAGACTTGAAGTGCGTGTTGAATGCAAACATCCCATATCAAGTATATAACAAAAAAGTAAATGGGTTAAATATAAGGAGGGCTAGTCCACCCATTAATAATTGGTTTTAGGCAGGGGCGAAGGCAGAAATTTTTTTCAGGGGGGGCAAAATACTAAAATTTTTAAAGTTCAGGAGAGGCTAAATAATTTTTCATATACTAATTTGCAAGATTTTCAAATTTCAGGGGGGCGAGCGCCCCCCATCGCACCCCCTGGCTCCGCCACTGGTTTTAGGTTAGATGTAAGTCTTATATTAAAACGCACATTCACAATTATCACATGGTATCATAGCTTAGGTTTTGTCTTGGAAAACCCATAAGGGTGTGTTGAGTGGGAATTGGTTTTAGGTTAGATGCAAGCCTTGTGTTGAAGCCTATATACACAATTTTCACATAATAACAAAGCCCAAGTTTTGTCCTAAAAATCCCATTGTTAACCCACTTGACAAAACCCCAAGTTAATATCGAGCTTGCATGTAAGAGAGTGTGTTAAGTCATGTGATAGGACCCAACATTCATAATAAGTCTACATGTAAAGGGGCATGTTGAGTGGAAAAATACAAGGAGAGCTACTCCACTTATTGTAATTAATTTTAGGTTAGGTGCAAACCCTGTATTGAGCCAGATTTTCCCACTCAACACACTTCTTCACGTACAGGTCCACTATGAATGTTTTGGGTCATGTCACATGACCTAATACACTCATTTACATGTAAGTCCGGTATTAACTTTGGATTTTGTTAGGTGGGTTAACAACAGACTTTCTAGTACAGAACTTGGGCTCTAACATTATGTGAAAATTATGCATGTGGGTTTCAACACAAAGTTTGCATCAAACCAAAAACCAATTAGTAATAGGTGGGGTACCCATCCTAGCATTTAACCCATGTACTTCTTCATTATATACTTAAGGTGGGTGTTGTTGATTTTCAAACCAAATTGAATTGCTGCAAGAAATCTCTAATTTTTTTTCAAATACAACATTCTAGACTTTTGTATTTGCTTCAAGTAGAAACTTGATCCTTCAACTAGCATTCCAAAACAATGGATGTTTTTTCATCATACAATTAAATACATATAGACTAGACAAAATGACTGAGAGTTGAATGAATTTCATTGCTGCACAAAGTTCACAATATATACAAAAGTTCTATTGCCATAGTTCCTAGTATGGAAGAAGATTATCAAGGCACAATCATCAAAGATTAATACTTTTACCTATTTCCCAATATGGAAGAAAACTATCAAGTTTAAGACACAACCAAAGATTAATATTCTTACTTGTTTTCAATATCAGTAGCTATACTTCTGGATATTAGATCTTTAGCCTATGGCTAATTTATTAAAAGAAACATATCTCCTCCAAATAGATGCTTGGCTTGAGTAATGCAGAAGAAAAACACCCAACCTAAACTACAAATGCTTACCCCTGCATATTCAACCAAAAGAGTATAGGGAACAAACAACTCCCTCATCTTCCCAATCTACTTAGTGCAATTAATTAAAATTTTTACATATCGCATTTTGTGTCTCTATACTCCCTGTGTTGGTTATATCTACACAGGTTCCTAAGCCACACAACTTTGCAAGCAGAATGTCTCCTTCTTTCTTTATTAAAAATTTTCCAAGCTTGAGGTCACTGTATACAATGCCATTTGAATGTAGGAATTCTAGTGCTTCAGCAATGTCTCTGCATAAAATGTTAAATTCATATAATGAATAAGTAATAAAAGCATGAAATCTAAATAGATAACAAAAAGTTTGGAAAAGAACTTACTTCATTAATTGTATAAGTTGGATAGAAGGCCTATTTTCTTCGTTCAGCTTCCAAGGTTGAAAAGCTTTTATTTCTTCCTTTATGGACACTTGATAGATCCAATCCTCAAGGTTGCATGCATAGAAATCCAAAGCAATATAAAGACAATTCTTATATTCTTCTTTCCCACAGCATGCAACAACATTTCAATGACGGTCTTTTTAAGAATGTCAACCTTTCTCCTACCCAACTTCTGTGGAACTCTCTTCACAACCACTACTTCCTCATCAAAATACCCCTTAAATACATTAGTTTCCTCCTTAGAGCTTATTTCTTTCTTAGTATAAACAAGCAATCTTCTATCTCCAATCACAAGAACATCATCAACTTCCCTTTTTGGATGCAGAACATCATCATTCTTCAATTGATAACCAAAAACAATTTCCCATCAACTACCTCTCCACTTGATGAAGAATTAATGGGAACATTGTAAAATCTTTCTAGAATTAGTCCTTGTTATGGAACATTTCTTCTTAAATAATTGCTTACTAATCCCTATGTCACCAAGCTTTGCAAATAGGCCCTTGGTTATCGATATGCTGGTAGGCTTTAAATCATAGTCAATAATGCCATTTTCATGCAAATGAGATGGTCCTAGGACTATATCCTTGTAAAAATTAAACACACTTAAGATCTATAATTTAGTACATATATGATATCTAAATACGTGATAAAAGAGCTTGGGAAAGAAACTAAACTTACTTCATTAGTTTTAATAAGTGTATGGTGGGATGATTATTCTCATTAGTGTTTCAAAACTACATCCCCTTTGCTATCGAAGCCCATTTATGGATCAAATCATGCAAATTACAAACACATATCTCTAATGCTATATAGGAAAAATAGTAATTAGTCTCCTCCCCATAATATTGAACAACCTTTTTTTGTCTAGATTCAATCAAAAGTTCAACCTCTTTATCAACTAAATCAGCCTCCTATCTAACAAGTCTCTTCACAACTATTCATTGCTCATTATAGCTACCCTCATGTACTTTTGTAAAGTTAAGGCCAGAGCCTATTTGTCTTTTTAGAAAAAGAACATGCAACTTCTCACCCTCAATTTCTAAGATGATCTCATCTTGTTGCTTGTTTTTTGATGTCATATACTATTGCTTGCTTTTTGATGCCATATCTTCTTGCTTCTTTTTTGATGCCATATCTTATTGCCTAGTTTCCAATACCTCATCCTATTGCTTATTTTTCAATGCCTCATCTTGTTGCTCATTTCTAAATGCCTTTTTTAGTTGTCTATTTTTAAATCCCTCATTCTTTTTTTCTTTGGATGTCTCGTTGTGATGTTTCTTAATTTTAGTTCCTTTAATGCAATAATAGAATAATCTTGCCATGATGGTGGACAAGACACCAAATGGAACTTAAACAGAGTCTCACTTATCGTGACAAGTCTCTGAGAAGGTTATGTGGATAGGTACCGACAATAAGTGGTAACAAGAAAAGAGCCCAATTGGAGTCTCATTATGGAAATGATCAATGGTGTGCTTAACCAAAATCCTTTTATAATTAGACTCAACATGTCATATCTCCATTCCTAACCACCTTTCACATTGAAAGGACTTGATGTGGGCAAAACCTATTGTCTAGATGACTTCTTCTGAGGGACAGGTTTGGCTAAACTTTAGACAAATAGAAATCAAGGTGTAGTCTTTCCTAAAAATGTATATGTGTTGCTTTGTCTCATTGCCAAGATTAATAACTTCTCTTCCAAATTTGTCAAGGTGGTAGATTGTGGTCGTTAATGATCCAAATAGTCTTAGTTGAAATAGAAAAGAAAAAGTTAATACCTAATCTTAAGAACTACCACATGGTAGGATGCATAGGCAATGTATACAAGGCTTGGCCTTATTCATATTGGGGAGACATATGCCTAATAAGAATACATATTCGATGGCCTACCACAGATATTTCAACATTACATTATAACCAAAAGATTAGTCCAGTAATTACATAGATCTTTGCATATTTAAGCTACTCTTCCTTTTCACATTTCTT